CAACCATCTCATTTTATAAATGGGGAAACAGATCCAGTGAGGGGAGGTGTCTCACAGCAACTTGCTGCCACATGAGGATGCCAAATTGTGGAGCCATTTTTCAAAAAATTGATTTTTAAAAAATTTATCTTTAGTGATGAAACTATAACAGATGTCCCCCATTTCCCCCCCTCCCCCATTGCCTACCTCCACCTGGTTCTTCCACCCCCTCCCCCCACCCAAGGCCTTCACCACACAACTGTCTGTGTCCATGGATTATGCATATAAATTCTCTGGTTAATCTCTGCCTGCCCCCTCCCCACTCCCCTCTTCTATCTGAGATCATCAGTCTGCTCACATCTTTTTGTGAGATATTCATGTTTGTGCTATCTATGTGTAAAATATAAGTCTGGAGGCTAGAAAATATTGTCATTTCAGAGTTGCCAAGAGGAGATTTGGGAGGCAAACTCAATTTCATCATTTCCTGGGAAGACTAGGCCAATTAATTCCTTAGGGAGTCTAGAGATCGATTGATTGGGCCATCTATCCATTTACCCCCCTGACCAGACATCAGTAGGTTCCTTGCCAGGCCTGGTCAGGCAGGTACTATTCGGGTCAAGGGACAAAGACCAAGCCCCACCCTCAAGGGTTGTGCAGGGTCTTGATGGTTAAACTAAGAAATTAGGACCACAGGCAACATGGAACCAATGAAGGGCTGTTTGTCTTCCTCCCTCAGAGACCCTTCCAAGTCAGCCTGGACTCTAGGCTAAGATTCTTGATAGTTCTGCATCCAAGAGATTTAAAGTTTATTCTTTATCACAAAAATCCTTTGATTAAACACTTGCTTGTTTTAACTCACTTTCTTTCAAGCAATATCTCTAAGACTAAAATAACAAGGGTAAAGTTCAATGATGTTTCACAGAAGATAGCTTTGGAAATAATAAAAGACTTCCTGGTCTAGCACCCTCCTTGGAGTATAGGTGGACAGAGACCTGAAGAAGAGCGAGCAAAGCACAGGAAAGTGACATGGGAAGTGGGTGAGGACCCGGCCCGGGCCTCAGCTCCCACCCTCCACCCCTGCTCTGGGCTGCCTCTATCAGTTTGGAGGTAGGGAATTGGCAGAGGGTTTCCCTTTGGAAGAAGTGATAGGATATCCAAGTGCAGACTTTTCACAAACTGTCAAACTGTCCAGGAAAAGAGGTGAGAGGCTAGAACCACTCAAAGGAATAGACTTTGGAGAAGGTTGATGTGCAACCCATATCTGTTTAAGAGCACTCAAACATATCCCTACACCGGTCCCTCATGTGGAAAAGTTGGGTCAGAGTGGTTTCTCTCTAAGAGGGGGGAAATCCATGGAAGGTCTTGAGGAAGCTGGTGGCCAAGGAACACATGGTCAGGATTTTGGCCTCTCAGGAAAGAGCTATACTTTGGTATTCCTCTCCCTTTTTAGATATTGTCATTTTGGGGATTGCAGAAAATAAGGAAATTCACGCTGAGGTGCTAACATGTGATTTCTCTCCCTAACTCCACTACAGCCTGAAAGACATGGCATTGTAATCACCTGCTTAAAGGACTTGCTGCTGCCCTCCCTCTGCTGAGCTGAGCCCCTCAAGGAGGGCCTGATTTCTATTCTGCATCAGCTTCTCAGAGTTTGGCACAGGGTCTAGCCAATGCTCCTTACAAGAAGGAATGAACGGGAAAGCTGGATGATCAGATCACATCCAGGCCTGAGCTCAATAATGGTCAGTGGTGAGGGAGCCACAGAAGAGAAGAAATAACATTGTGAAAATTTTACCTTGAGCCAGGCTATGGTGGATGCTAGGATACCCATGTTACAAGTAAGGAAACTGAGGCTCTGGGCGGGGGGGCGCAGACACAAAGGCAAAGGCATAGGGCCTAGGACTCCCAGAGGCCTCTCCTCTCAAGGTTCATCCATCCTAAACTATTTCCCAAGTTCACACCGACACACTGAGTCCCGATTGCCCAAAGGGAGACCAAGGACTTCTGTCCGAAGCCTCTAGCTGCTGCTTAGCTAGTTTCCTCCCTTCACCTTGAGCCCACTATATAATCAGTTTTTCTCAAGATACGGAATTCCCAGAAGCCTGGTAGACCAAATTCTGCCCCTCCTCTGGCTTTCTCTCTGGTTTTCAGGAAGACACTGGGAAGGGAGGGTGCTGGGCTGAGATCAGATAAGCCCCCCATAGTCAGGATCAGCTTCTATCACTTGTTGAGGAGAACACATCTTAGTTGTTCCCTCTTCTCAGAATAGTGACTCTTTTACCCATTATGGAGGGGTGGGGAATGAGGGATGAGCTCTCCACTGGATGCTAGCAAACTGGGTTCTAACAATCCTTCTCTGACCTCCTTTCCTGCAGCTATTCAATGGGAGTCAGCTTTCCATCATCTTTTTCTGTTGTCCTTCTCTAGACTACCTTCTCCAGCCTTCTGCACCTCACCCACCCTCAAGCCTTAGAGCTACTTCTCCCCAGGGCAATGACTTTCTTGACAGCCCTGCTGCTTTCATTACTCAAATGCTATCCTGTTCCCCAAGGAAAGAATCCAACCTTGAATGCTGTTCTGATTGGCTTACCCCTTATTCCCATCAGATCCTTGTTTGTGATGGTTCCAGTCACCTGGAAACAAGAGTTCTTCGGACTGAGTTTTGGATCTGCCACCACACGTCAGTCTTAGCCCCCAACACATCCCAACACAGCCCTCTAGCCTTAAATAGACTAATCTCTAAGCCAAAAGTTCTTCTGGAGTTCTGACTGTAGAGTAGCCAAGTACTGGTGGTCTTTCATTTTACTTTCAGCCCAGTCTCTTTATATGTAAGCACAGAGATGCTTGATCAAATGGTGGGAAAGAACATCACATTTATTATTTCACTGTTCAAACATTTATACTTGTTCTCAGGTGTCAGCTTGAACAGCAATCCTCCTCAGTCTACATCAGATTCCTCTCTCAGACTCCTCTTATATGGCACTTGCCACAATCTATGGTACATATATATACAATTATCTGTCCAATGTCATTCCCTTTCCCATTGGCCTAGTTGACTCCATGGTGGCATGGACTGTCCATCTTGTCTGCTATGTGGCCCCAAGGCCTATTCCTGCATGGGATTCTGACAAGGACCTGCTGACTGAATAAAAATTCAGACCCCCTTGGGAGATAGGATCCCAATGACTACAGAAGAGGAAGTTGTCTAGCACTGACACTAGCACTAAACAGGAGGCTGAGTAAAGTGCTCTAGGCAAGCGGATCTCCAGGGAGAGGGATGAAGTTCAAGAAGGCTTCCTGACAGAGGCATAGCTGAGCTCACATGGTACACTGACTAAAGCATAAAGCATTCACAGACTGTCCTACAAGGGCACTGCCACCTAACTCAAATGTATCCAGGAGGACCCTAAGAGAACTTATTTCACCTATAAGGAAACTGAGGCCCAAAGCAGGACATAGACTAGTTCCCAAAGAAGCCCAGACCTAAGCCTCTTGGGGTCTTGCAATTACCATGTCACACTAGGAGCTCAGAGACCAGCAGAATTGCAGAGCATGTTCCTGCTCTTTTCCAGAAGTATCTACTTTACACTTGACTGAAAAATGTTTCAGGAAGAGGGGGCAGGGTGCTGCTGATGCTGCCTTGGTAAGGCGGAAAGAATGATTTGGCAGTCACCTTGGGAAGGGGTGCGCTGCAGGAACCCTGCTGTAAAGGGTCAGAAATCTTTCAGAGGGAGGCTTGTTTGTGACTCTCAAGCAGGCTTGACCTTCGACAGAAAGCTGGTTTCTGAGGGAGAGCAAAATAAGCAATAATCTTGGTTTCCTTTATCATCCAGGTGCCTCCACAGGAGAGTGGGGCCACAAATGCCTTTTTTGTTTGTTTTGTTTTTGGAATTCACAATTGTCTATTTTCTTAAGTCTTCTCACTAGGCTAGAATCATGTGGTCTTGTAGAGTCAGGCCTAGATCTTGCCCCTGAAATCCCCAGCAATCAGAGAACAGGGGTTCAATGTTTGCTGAACAAACCATCCTTTCCACATGTGTGACTCCTCAGCTTAAGACTTTGCTGAACCAGGAAATATACCCAGAAACCCAGAAGAGAAGAATTCAAAGATAAAAGCATTGGAGAATCAGATAGGAAAAAATACTCAGCAGATATAATCAATACAAGTTTGGTTCTTTGAAAATACCTTTAAAATGGACAAATCTTTGGCAAGTTTTGATCAGGAGAAATCACTAATAACACTAGAGTGAAAATATGAAAAACTGACAACAGAGAGATTTTAAAAAGACGGGAGAAAATTACATAAAACTATAGCAAGAAATTAAAAATCTAGGTAAACTATGAAATTACCAAAGACCTTTCACAAGTGTTACCTCAATAAACTCTCACAACAGCTCTGTGCCTTGGACAGGTAGTGCTCCTATTATGTTTTCTAGAAGAGATAAAGAGGTGGACACCCAGCACAAGGGCTTTGACAAGCTACCCTGTTTGTCTCAAAGGTCACAGCCATGGGAGCACATGCACATCAATGACACTGAACTGCATCACTGAAGGGCTTCTAATCATTGCCTTAAGCCTTACGCCCCCTAGTTGAATGGCCAGACTTATTTATTTTTCCACTTCAGATGCCATAAGGGGTTTCACTTTATTTTTACTTCAAAAACAGCACCATAAAAATCCTTGATGATTAGAGCTCCAGCTGTCTTAAGTTGTTTGTCAAGGGATCAGTTACTCAAATCTCCTAAGGAGGGAAACAGTTTCAGGCGAGAAGCCATGGGAGCTGAGAAACGCAAATGTCTCATCTCTGAAAACTTTCAGACTCCCTCTTGTTCACTGCCTGGCCTGCCCCTGCTCCCCCTCTCCCAAACCCACCATCTGCTCTCCAGAGAGCAGATCAAATTTTCAGGCTAAGGTACTCTGGCGCCAAGGACTCAGCCCCTCCATGCTACCTTCTGCCCCCCACCAACTTAGAAATCCAACACCATGACCTAAATGGACTGCAGCCACATAAAACCACAAAGTAAAGTTTATAAAGCTTTATTAAACATTTCAAACAGCTGTGCAACGAACACACGAGAAATAAAAGCTCCAGAATAGCAGTCCAAATGTTCCACAAGTGTGGCCTCCCGGTCCCATTTCCTAGATGGACTGCCTCCAGTTCTGTCCTCTGCCTGGCCCACTTCCTTCCCCGCTCAGGCAAGAGAAAGATGGATGGTTTAGACTGGAGGGACAACCATACCGATTGCCAGTGGGCAGGGGCCAGAAGAAAGTCTCGTTTGCCAACACTTGTATGAAAGCGCAGAAACAGCAAAAAAGCAAGTGACAGTCACAAGTCTTCCTCTTTGTATTCTTCATAGAGTCTATATGTGCAGGACTGAAGGAGCTCCTGGCATGAGGATGGTCACTGCTCCCCTCTGTCTTGTCTGAACCACCTTGGAGTCCAGTGTGCTGGTCACTCTGCAATCCCATGCTAAATAAAAACTGTAGCGGCACCTACTATAGTAGCTATTGCTATACCTCAAAATCAGAACACATTCAATAAAGCTTATTTAAAAGGAATATACACATGTATTTGTTCACGTACACACACGGCACACCAAAAAATATCCAAATACCTATCAAGGGATCATGGCTGTTTTGAAACACACAAGTACTCTCTCATTCACTCGGCTGGGGACTCTAGATCTACATGAACACACTACACCTCAATCCTGCAGAGCATGCACAGGAGAGACAATGAGGCCAACCCCTTGCCCCCTTTGGACAGCTGAGGAGGGCAGGAGGAAGGACAAAGGAGTGAGGCTGAGCATGAGCCCAGACACCCAGGTGAAAGAGCAACATGTATCTGTTACTTCTTTCTTAAAAATGAAGTGGAAAAAATACTGGAGATTTGTGAACAACAGTCAGTCAATACATGTTTCTGTCTAGCCTGCTGATCAGGGAAAGAAGAATGAAAAAGCGAGGCTCTCGGGCGTCAGCAATCTCTTTAAATTCGAGATAAGTGCAAAAATGAGCCCTGTCTTGGACAGATGCTCCCTAAAAAGGAAAGGGGTAGAAGAGAACTAAAGGGAAACCAGGAGAGGAACTGAGGACTTGGGAATATTCTGGGAAGGCAAAAGACCCTGACAAGGAGGGAGTGACAGAGGTGACAATGAACTTGGCATTTTATCTTCCCAGGTCATGCTGGGATAGTTGATCAGGATGGGTGCAAAGTCCTCGCAGGAATGAGGCGAGGGGGGGAGGGGGGTGCATCTTGACAGCTGGGACCAAGATGGGGACAGAACACACACAACCACAAGACCACCCACGACTATAGGACTCTACAATAAAAGCACCTGTCAGTGCTATTATTCACATTTTAAGGATAAAACATCACAGGCCAAAAAGGCGCCGTCAGGAATGTGGCACCCGCAGGCTGCGGGATTTGAAACTCCAATGCTTTATGACCTATGTCAATGCCTCCCCTCCCGTCTTCTGCTTCCTTAGAAAGCTAAATGTGCAGGTTGTTAGGTGCCCACAACGCTGGGGTCATGTGCCGATTCCGGAAGCGGGGAATCGGAGCAGTGGTACAGGAAACAGTTTCCCCAGCAGCTATAGCAGATGAGGAACAGAGCTGCTAGGAAAACCAAGGCACAAATTGTGCAAGGCTTCCGCTCCAGGAGGAAGCTGAGCAGGTAGAAGCCCATGAACATGGAGTGGCTGAACCACAGGGCGGGGTTGAGGGGCTTGGGGATGAGGAGGACAGGCAGCAGCCACTGGAGGCAATACATGATCTCTGTCAGGCAGGGCCTTCGCCAAGGCCGCTGAACACCGCTGCAGGAACCGACCTAATGGGAGCCCGCGGGCGTGGGCGCTGCCCTCAGCGTTCTTCAACCCTCACTCTCCAGGAGCTCAGCCGCTGTGCTCTCTGGCTGTCAGCTCAGGATCACCAAGGCAGCAGGGGTCCTGAAGAGAAAAGTCAACACAACAGACAGACAAAAACAGACAGACAGACAGACAGACACAAAACAAAAAACAAACAAACAAAAAAACAGGAACAGAATGTATACTTATTTGGGAAAATGGATCATGGTTAACAACAGTAAATGTGAATGCCCTTTCCTCCCTGCCCACCCAGAGAAGTCACCATTTCTAGAAGCCTCCTGAGGTATCTCCCCTGGGCTTCTTGGGGGCTCTTCCGTCAGGTCCCAAACAGTGGACTGGCTTTGCCTGGGCCCCGCCCAGCAGAGATCATGTATCGCCTCCTGGGGCTGCGGCCCGTCCTCAAGGGGTCCAGACCTCACAATACCGCTCTGTGGTTGCCATCAAATGGTCATGGCTCGATGTTGTGCCCCACAGGATTAGCACAGAGTTCTCTCTCACAGCAGGTGCTCAATAGAGAGTTAAATCAGTTAGCGGCGCAGGGCCTGCGGGAAATTACAGTAGCAGCAGTACCATCAAATATTTTGTTTTAAGATGGCAGCCTGGGATAAGCTTGCTTTTACAAATTAGCCTGGCGTCATTTTACCAAAATCAGCCAAGTTCTTAGAAAGTGAACATAAAAAAAAATTAAAAATCACCATGCTACTTTGTCTAAACTGACCTCACTTGGATCACTTACACTCTCCATCTGCTGCTGGCACTGTATAGAACCCGATTTCTGTGAGCTTTTAATAAAAATTAATTTTCTGTCCACATAGGGGCAAATGCTAGTTGGCCCCTGTGCCAGGCAGTGTGCTGGAGAGAAGTGCTCTCCGGTGGCGGGCCACCAGTGCGCTGGGGCCGCACTCGCAGACCCGCTCGCGTTAAGGTCTAATTGATGTGTCTGGATACCGCGGCAGCCACAACCCTCTGGTGGTGGTAGCAAAACCCTGCTCCAGCCGCCCAGTGCAAGTGAGGTTGAAATGACCTGTCCAGCAGCAAACTATCCCACAGGGCATTCTGACCACTTCACGCGAGAGCTCATCCCATCCCTTCTGCACATACAAAGGTGCCAATCCCTCCTGTACCCCTCTCAGAGGGTATACCCAGTTAACTACCGTTTTCCCGCCTAGAGTTCAGTGCCCTGGTAGGATTCCTACAATCGCCACGGCCATAGGTCTAGCAACGTAAGAAGTGAGACTCAAGGAACCAGGGAAAGATTACTCGCTCAGAGACTCCTGTGAAACAGAGGAAGCTGGCTTACAGCACATCAAATATTCAAAAAAGAGCGCTGAGCAGGGGCCTGTGAAGACAAGGCTCCTGGAAGGGGCAGCCTTTTCTGTTCCGCGGGTAAATGATCCCTCTCTAAATTAGGTATCCATCTGTGCCCAAGGTGGGTTCTGGGACGGCACCGGACATTGTGCTCAAAGAGATGAGGTCCGTACAAGAGGCGCACAAACCCTACACTTGGGCAGTTCGCTACTCAAGGGCTGCAATCCCCCTCCATTTTACACTAAAATTCAAAAGCAAGTACAGCAGAATCTTCTGGAAAGGGGCTAAAATGAAACTCTGGAGGCGGGGGTCGGTGTGGAAAGAGCAGATGGATTATTTTTTCCTCTCCTGGCGAATGAGGAGCGCCCCTGGTCCCCCCACCCTACAGGACCCCCCCCCCAAGTGCGCATGCGCATTTGGGTGGCGGGCGGATACTTAAAGGGCGGCTGCGGCAGTGCGCCCAACAGCGGACTTCGAGAGACCAGCGGCCCTCGGCGAACCCTAAGCCTTCGGCAAACTCTCTCAACCACCTATTCTCGGAACCATGGCGGCAGTGGCGGCAGCATCGGCTGAACTGCTCATCATCGGCTGGTACATTTTCCGCGTGCTGCTGCAGGTAAGTGTGCCCGGGGTACCGGGTGGCAGAGGGGTCCCAATGTGTGTACCCTGAACCCGCAAGCCCACGTTGCAATTGCCGCCTCTCATACCCATCTTATCCTGATTGCCGCGATCCCTGATTGCCGCGATCCCTGCCCGCCCGAGTGCCGCGGCCGGCACCACGCGCCCCCACCCGTCCCCTGCGCCCTCCTCCTAGCGCAGACCCTTCTCAGTGCGCCCGCGCCCGGCTGGGAACAAAGAGTTGGGGCGCGGCGGGCGCCAGCCGCCGACGAACGCTGAGGCTCTTAGCAACCAACGTGGTAAGAAAAACCCGCTACACTCAGACTCGACCCCAGGAGGGAGGCGGGGCACCTCTGTTTTGCGAAGAGACTTTACAACTCGCATAGCAAAAATTTTCCGCCTTAAAAATTGCGCATTGCGGGGAAATTTTCTTTTTAAAAAATATAGCGCTTGCGGGGCTGAGACGAAAAATAGATTACAAAAAGGCACTTCTCAAAAACAAATACAAAGCACTTCACAAAGACCAACAAACTAGGAAAAAAGTAATTTGCGGGGGGGGGGGGAATGAATTCGAGAAAATGCGCATTGCAGGAAAAATAGACAAAAGCATTTGACAGAAAAAATGCATTAGATAAAAAGCGCATTGCAGAAAAAATATAGACAAAGAAGCTAACAAAAAATGAATCAGATAAAAGCGCTTTGAGGAAAACAATTAAAGGAAAAGGCTCTTTGCAGGAAAATGGAAGAGGAAAAAGCGCTTCCTAAAAAACCAAATTGCTTTATTTAAAAAAAAAAATCTAATAGAGGCAAAGCACTTTGTGTAAAAATAAAATAAAATAAAATAAAATCAGAAGAAAGCGCTTTGCCCATAAAATCATTTACCCTAAAAGCACCCTTTGCAGGAATAATTTCCTGCTAAAGGATTCTTTTGCCAAAGGACTTGCATATTTCCTTCAAGGTGTTCCTGGAATGCTGCATTTACTGGGTAGGATTCCCTTTTCGAAATTCTCCAGGGACCCAGCCTATTGCAAGAAGTGAGGTATACTTAAGTTTTAGGTCCAATCAGCTTGCTGCCATGTAGCCTTCAGCACAGCTGGAAAAACTCCAGCTGCTCTGACTCGTGGACAAGCTGTGCCCCTGCCTACCTCTCCTAGGTGGACAGGTGGGCGGGGCAGGGGGTGGGGCGGTGGCGGGAACGGAAGCGCTGTACACAGGCTAGGGGTCCCCACATCTAAGGGCAGTCCTGGGTCTCTCACTACAGGTGTTCAGGTACTCCCTGCAGAAGGTGGCATACACCGTGTCGAGGACCGGGCGGCACGTGCTGGGAGAGCGCCGCCGGGCCCCCAACTGAGGCCCCAGCCCCCAGCCCTGGGCGGCCATGTCACCAGGTGCTCCTGTGCATCTCGCCCAGCATGGGAGCCATTGCCGCCCAGGAATAGGGGGTCCCCTGTGCTCTCTCGCCAGAGGAGCATTTGCCAAGGTCAATGAGGGGCTGGCAGGCCTCCAGAGAAGCAGCACCGCAATGACGACAATACCTGATCCCTTTCCAATCCCTGTGTACCCCTCCCATTATGGGGCGGGGTAGAGGGAGGAGGGATGGAGGGAGAATTCTGAGATTTGGGCATAGGCATTCTGATCTGGACCAAGTCGGACAGCGACATCCCAGCCCCACAACCAGGGCCATACCAGCAGGCCCCACCACAGAGATCCAGACTACGACACCAGCAGCAGAATGAACATTCCAACATCATCGGCAAGCCGAAGCCCTGAACCTCTGAGCAGCAGACAAGGAGTCAATTGCGTGCCTGTGTGGCGGGACAAGAGGGCTTGGGTGGGGGAGGAAGAGGGTTAAGAAACAGAGCGGGGCCCTCTCACTGTCCCTTGCCTACTGCACGTGCATTCCAGCCTTGCTGCCTTTGCTCCCTCTATTCCTCCTTCCCCCTCACTGCCTCCCAAGCCCACCCTACCAGAAAAAATGTATCACTCAATTCGGACCTATTCAATCAGTAAAAGAATCCCAACTTTACTAAAACACCTCCAAGCCCCCAGTCCCTCATTGATCTTTTCCCTGGTCTCATGCAATTGTGGTCAATATTGTGCAAATTGCTAATTGTAATAATTGTGTAAGTGTGCATTAGTTGTGCTTCCCCCGCTAGATTGTAAGCTCCTGGAGGACAGGGACCACCTCTCAAATTAAAAAAAAAGCACCTCCCCCATCTCGCACAGTGTCCCAGGACCCTGCGGGGCGGTGGAAGCGCACCAAAAAGTTGTCTCTTGTAACTTCTTTTGTGGCTGCGACACATACTTCTAAGACTGGGTTGATGTGCCCATTGTGAAGTAGGCATGATACTTGGGACAGGGAGGGAAGGAGGGGAAGGCAACAAAATGGGTATTGGGACCCTCATATATCTCAACACGGTCCTGAGATAAAGGACCATATCCTCCTCCCCAAAGAGGTCTTCACTTGTGGTCTCAGAATAAGAGATCACTACCCCCTCCCTCCCAGAGAAGTAGGTGCCTTCACTTGTCCAGGGATAAGGGGCCTTGGCAGATAATCACTGGGAAAGATGGGAGGAGTGGAATGCTGGGAGTGGCCCTCAAAATGGGGTACTAGGAATGGGGAAGGGGAGTGTGGGGGGTAGAGGGGGACGACACATGACAGGACTTCAGAACACAAGCCCTATCTCTATTGAGGAGCCCCAAGGAAATGAGTACTGGGCAGGTGGGCACTGGGTTGTGCAATGAATATGGGATTAAGTGGTATGCTGTGGTGCCTCCCTTGCCCAGTTCATTCTTCTAGGCCCTATAACCTCTACCAGGACCATTACAAGGGCATCCTGCTGGTCTTGCTACTCTCGGGTATCCCCCCCCACCCCCAGGAACCTCTCTTCAGCTCACTCACCCCAATACTGGGTTCTCTGCTTCTAGAATTAGCCTCCTCATTTTTAGCAGTGCTTACCATGACCCTGGCCCTCATGTCAGGGTGGGTGGGCTGCTCAGATCCAGACTTCTCTCCCTTTTCCCACTCCTCAGTGAGTTAGGGCTCCTGTTACATGGGGTCAGCTGACTACCTCACCAATTGGCCCTGCTATCTATTCAGTCTTGTCTGTGGCTTTATGTGTCTCTGTCACCACACCTGTTCCTGGGTCAACACTAAGGGAGGGAGTTGGAGAGCTATAAATCTCTTTCTGCCACTTACTCAAATCCCTTAGTCACAGCTGTCACAAACACTCTGGAGCACAACTTGCCTCACCTCCTTGAACCTAATGTTTCTGTCCTCTTAGCAAGCCCCTTGTGTTTGTCAACCCAACCACCAGCACCTCTAGAGGCATCTATAACTTCAGCTCAGCATCAGAGAATCATGGGGGTGGAGGGTGCAGACCTTAGTTCTCATATTGGCTTTGCCATCAATCAGCCCAGGGAATCTGGCCAGGTCCCTTAACCCTCTTAGTTACCCTCTGTAAAAGGGCTGCTAAGATCCCAGTGAACCCTAACATACTAGAAACAATCTGCTATCAAAATGGCAATCAGGAGTGACAGGACTGGAATGGGGGTGTGCAATCTGAGTTTCCATCTTCCGTAGGCTGGGTGGCTCCAGCTTCTACTATAGCCTGAAGGTAATGCCCACACCTCCCTTCTGAAGCCTATTTCTTAGCAAGCCTCAAGACTGGAGTTTCTGTCGTTTTCTACCAAAACCCCCAGAACCATGAACATATTTCAACATGTGTTCTCCATGAAGGCTGCCTCTCCCTTCAGAGCCTTTTAAGGGTGTGCCTATTACCCCAGATGCTCTAACCTCAGCCCAGTTTTAAGGCAGCTGGGTTCATTGAGACAGGCTGCGGCAGCATAGACAGGTCTGGCTGCTCTGGACACAGGAGGTAGCCTCAGAGCTTTCCAGATGATCTTGGCAAAGCCCCTCCGCAGGACTTTCTCCATCCATACATCAGCAGGGTTCAGAGCATTGTGAGATGTCAGACTTCCAGGCAAAGGCTGCCATCATGGCCTACACCTCCATGGGTGGGTTTGAGTGTGCAATGTTCACTCCCTTCTTTTGTCCCCCATTCCCAAACCATCATACCTTGGCAACAAACATCACCCAACAGAGAAGACAAAAGGAATGTGTTCACTTTCTATTCCAGTGCAAGGACTAGAAGTCTGGTACAAACAACTTGTTTATAATATTTTTTCCCCAGTAGTGACACCATTAAAACATTTTATTCTGACAGACAGCAATGGGAGGAGCTGAAAATGACTAGTTTTATTGTAAAGCCCTTAGTCCACAGCCTCCCCTTTTCCTAAACCAGTGATGGCGAACCTATGACACGCGTGTCAGAGGTGACAAGCGAACTCATTTTTTTGGTTGATTTTTCTTTGTTAAATGGCATTTAAATATATAAAATAAATATCAAAAATATAAATCTTTGTTTTACTATGGTTGCAAAGATCAAAAAATTTCTATATGTGACACGGCACCAGAGTTAAGTTCGGGTTTTTCAAAATGCTAACACGCCGAGCTCAAAAAGTTCGCCATCACTGTGCTAAACTGTCTCTACCACCCCCACAAGGCCAAGGATAGTGCAGATGAGTTGTGAGAGGACTGGGAGGGCTTTGTGGAACTGCAGAAACAGGTGAGACTGCCCCAAGAAGGATGTTAGTTTCTTAGTTTAACCAACTGAAGTTAAGCCCCAGGGGAGTTCAGGTACCATGGCGTTCAGAGGTGCTATGTGACACCGTTACCTCTATCTGTGGAGTATTTGGATTGTGATGAAAGGAAGGGGCAGGGAGGACACATTTCTTGAACTTCAACTATGGGACAGCAACAGTTTATTACACATGGTTTGAATGAGGGAGAAGGTTCGCTGTGAGCCATTTGCTAGACATCTATTTTCAAACTTGTATTTGCTCAGGAGCCAGCATCCTAAAGTGAGAGTCTGAATTTGCAGTTAGTTTCTCTCCCGCCCCCGAGATTTAACTGTGCATGAGTGCGTGTGCGTGCACACACACGCACATACACACACACACACAACATTAATATCAGTCTATTTTTCCCTGGTGACCTCTTACTTCCTTTATATGCCCCAGAGACATATCAGCATCTTCTCTGGGAAAGATCCTCTGGGTTCGCCCTGGTCTCACCCCTTTCTCCTTCCCATAGGGCCCATACCCCAGCAGAATCCAGATTCCTGAGCCTTCCCAGAACAGGAAGTCAGGGAGGCAGGCAACACATGGTCCCTGGTATATCACACAGTGACAGGTCTGAATGGAATGCATATGTTTCGAATATAAGAGAACAACAACAAAACGATGGCCAAACCCAGACTTCCAGATTCCTCTTGGAACCAACATATTACACATAAAAGGTTAAACTGGTTTTGGCAGCAATTCTAAGACCAATTTTTCAGAGACGGAATTGATCTAGTCACTGGAAACCCACCGGGGCTCTGAATCTTTTTAACAGATTTGCTTGACATCAATTAACCTCGTATTTTAAACAAACAAACAAACAAACAAGACCTAGCATTTGGCATGAGCACTTAGGCTGGAACTTTTTTGGATCCTGGCTTGGGTGTTGCCGTCCAGAAGGCTGAGGGAATGGATGGGCCAGACCAGGCAAGGCAAACAGAAGCTGTGCCCAACACACCAGTTCCCTGGAAAGGGACAAAACACGATCCAAACCTATAAACAAGAAAGACCATTTCTTTCCCAGGACAAACCCCAGGCTGTCCAACAGTTCGCGCTGAAAAGGCACACAGAAGCCTGGAAGGAAATTAAAGGTTTGGAGGCGGTAAGGAAAGCAAGCAACTATCCCCCAGCCGCCAGCCCCCATGCTCCTTTCCAGTCTACAAAGTGTGCCAGGCATTCCGTCCCTCCGGCCGCCCTTGAGGGCCGCCCCCCGTATACACTGAAGGGAAAGGGATGGGTGTCCGGACGGGATGCAAAGTCAGAGGGAGGAAGAAGGACCCGAGACTCAAAGCAGAGTCACCTATCATCCCAGACACCAAAGCGGGGGCTCGGGGCAGGAGACCCTTTTCTACCCCCCCCAACCCCCCCTACGCCCCTTCTGATGTAAAAAAAAAAAATACAACCGAAGTGGTGGGGACAGACTGACAGGCTTCTCAGAAGCTGGGTCCCCTGCCAGGGCCCCAGAACGGAAGAGGGGATGGTCGCGCCCCCCAGCTGCCCGCTCCCCCCGCCCACACCGGGAGCGGACTGGCGAGCGCTGACCTTGGAGGCCAGAACGAGAACCCAGGAATCCCGTGACCCGCCCTCGGCCAGGAAGGGGCCCTCAAGGCCCGGGCTAGGGCCAAACAGGGCAACCAAGTGAAACCGGACAGAGGTGGCTCGAGGGTGCGCGGAAGGAAAACCCCAGAGAGGAACCGGGACGCCTAAGGTGACCCCAAAGGGACAACATGGCGGCGCGGACGCACGGAGGCCTCTCATCCAGCCCCCAGGAGGCCGAGAACACGGTACCTGCGAGCCCTGCCATGGCACCGCCGCCACTGTCGCCTTCGCGGTCGCAGCCGGCCTCCACCTCACTTCGCCACGGACGCCGCAGGAAGCAGGGGAGACGCCCCCTTCGTCTTCTAGTCCAGCGGTCGAGGACCCCTTCTGGGATTTGGCTGTCTACAGCAGACGCCCGATCATGAAACCCAAATTGGGGGGGTCTATCCTCCTACATTCTCCAAATATCCGTTCCAAATGACCTTTTGAGGACTTTCTATGTATGTTTGAGGAACTCTGAGGGCTCTAAAGTCTTCAAGCCCGAAGAATTTTTAATCAGGCGAATCCTGGGCAGCCCCAAATCACGGGCCCATGGTCCCCTCATGCATATTCAGCAGATTGTGATCACACACTTCTAGAGCTGAGGGGGGCGTACCTTGTTCCCTGTAAGCGAGCTTCTGTTCCCTTTGGTCCACGTGGATAACCCTTGTACTCAGGGAAACCCTCCTCCTGGCTCAAAGTCCTCCCCCTTCCCTGTCCTTCCACCAATGGGCCAAGGCTCAGGAGCAGAAAAATCCGGGCTCAGGCCTTAGGACTGACTTGGGGTCAGGACTTGACTCCGCCCCTTGCACTGTACCTTGGGCAAGCCACTCCCCTACCCAGGCTCTCAGCTTCCTCACGTCTGATGAAATACCTAACTCACGGGGTTGTTATGGGGATCGAATGAGCCAGTGTACTCAATTATTAGCTAATTAAGCACATTTCTTGAGCGCTTACTACCTGTAAGTGCAGCACTAAAGGCAAGAAGGTAGAATAGAGCGTGATATAGGCACCGTTCTAACCTGGGGGCGCTGACAGTCTAGTGGGGGAGGCTTGGGGGAGGGGCCAGGAAGGACAGTCATCAAATACTAACTGTATGTTAATAATTTTAACCGGATCAATATATAATAGTGCAATATGTGAAGTGTTGTGGGGGAAAGTATAAAGAGTTATGTAAAATTAATGGGGTCCTAATGCAGGGTGTTGGGAAGCTGGGACTTAGGCTGAGAGACCAAGGACAATTAGGAATTGTACAGGGCAAGAGTGAGAGGGGAGATGTTTTAGGCAGAAAGAACCACTTGTCCTAGATGTGAAGGTGGGAAGGAGCAGGGTGAGGGTCAGAGGTGACCAAGGAATAGGGCAGGTGGAGCCCCCTAATGAATTTGGATTTTATCTTGAGAGTAATAAGCCATTTTCTTCAGGGGAATGATATAAAATTTGGGTTTCTGAAAGGCCACCCTGGCTGCAAGGTTTGGAAGCACTTGGGAGTGGGTGTATGGAGATCAGTTAGAAGGCTGTTGGAGCTAGCCAGGTGCAAATTAAGAGTGACTCAGACAGGGTGGTGGCTTGGGGAGGTAGACAGGATGTAAGATTGGATGTGGCATAAACTAATGAACTAAAATAGATCCAGAGACATAGAAACATCCAACAGACCCTTGAATCTCAGAGGGAAGGCAGGGGAGGGTGTGTGTGTGTGTGTGTGTGTGTGTGTGTGTGTGTGTGTAAGAGATCAACCAAAGGACTTGTATGCATGCATATAAGCCATAACCAAATGACACAGACAGTAGGGAGGTGGGTACATGTGCTGGGGGGGGAGGGGAAGTGGCTGGTGAAAGCTCAATGGGGGAAAAACGGAGACATATGTAATACTTTCAACAATAAAGAATTTAAATTTAAAAAAAGATTAGATGTGGGTGGGTACTGGGGCATTGGCAATAACACCTAGTTTTTTTGTCTTGAGTATGAAGGAGTGAAAGAGCCCTTGACTAAAGTGGTGAAGCCTGAAGAAGGATCAGATTGAGGGAGAAGATCAAGAATTTGGCTTTGAGAAAGAAGGTAAGTGAAATGCCTGGGCGGCATCTAGGTAGAGAGGGTCAATAGGCAGTTTTGTATGCGACTGGAGCTCAGAAAAGAGGTCTGGACTATAGATACATATGTGGGTATCTATCACTCACAGGTGATAGATACATCATGGTGTGGGATGAGATCCCAAGGGAGAAAAGGTGGATAAAATAGTAAGCAGAAGAGGAGGAGCCAAGAAAGCAGGCTGAAAAGCAGTGACCAGTGTGGGAAGGGGAAGGACCAGCTGAGCATGGGATCCCAGAGAGAAGGTTTCAAGGCAGTGCTCAATGGGGATGACTATGTGAGGACAGAAATGGCACCACTGGGTTTGGTTACAAGGAGGGCTTATGGACTATTGTCCTTTACATTGCAAGCTCCAAAAAGAAAAAAGAAATCCTACTGAATTGGCTTAAAAAATAAGTAGCCTACCACTCAATGCCAGGTTAATTGGTAGGTTTGGCAAAGTCACCAAGGACATTTCATGTCTCAAGTTCATTCCATCTTTGCTCTAGTGTCCTCATGTTGGTTTCATGCTCATGGTCACGAACAGCTGTCCCAGTTCCTGGGGTTACCTCTATGTCAATAAGATGCCCATTTCTTCTCTAGCTGACTCAAACAAACTGGGTGTGGCCTCTCACTTTCTTGCTGCTAATGGGCTGAGGCATCAGTGCACCTCTGCCAGGCACACCCAGTATTCAATACTGGAGGAAAAGAGGAGTTTTAGAGTGAGAACTCTTGTTTAGAAAAAGAGAAGGAGCTAAAACGAGAAGTGTTAGCATGGATGTGGAGCAACTGAAATTCTTGCTGGTGAGAGAGGAAATTGGTACAACCACTTTAGAAAACTGGCAGTTTCTACTAAATCTAAATATATACTTATGCTATGACCAAGAATTTCCACTCCTAGGAATTCATTCTAGAAGTGAGTGCCTATGTGTACAAAATGACTTGTGTAAGAATTTTCATAGCAGATTTATTCATAGTTCAAATTAGAAATAGCCCAGTGTTCATCAACAGGGGAATTAATAAGTTATGGCATGTTCACTCAATGGAATACTATCTTTTACATCTAAAGGTACAAAATACTGACATATGTGACATCATAGATTAATCTCACATAGAGTATGTGGACTAAAATAATCAAAGCACAAAAACAGTACGTATTATATGATTCCATTCATATAAAGGTCAAGGGCATGCAAAACTAATATATGGTGATAGAAATCGGAATAGTAGTTATCCAGGTTGGAGAGCGAGTAGAAATGGGAAAGGAGCAAGAGGGACTTTTCTGGGGTGCTGGAAAAGGTCTGTATCTTAATCTGGTTGGTGATTACATGGGCAAAAATTCATCAAGTTCTACCATAAGCTTAGGGGACTTCATGTATGTCATATCCTCAAGAAAAATAAAATATAATAAAAGGGAGAAAGGGGTCCTGCCAACCAGTGGTTTGTGATATGTGCTGCTGAGGAAGAATAAGGTCCATTTTGGAGGGACTCCACCTTCTTATAACCTTAATGCCAGGTCTGGGCATTGACTGGACCTCAGTAGACAAACCTCCTCGCTGGAGCCCCAGAAAACTGTAGAAGGTGAGGCAGGGCTTCTTACTCACATGGGGCTGCTCTTGCCCAGGTGGTTCCCTTTCTCTGTACCCACAAGACTGCTTTACCAGATAAGCTCAGTTCCCGTTGGTAGAAATGACACCAAAGCTGGGCTCTGACTTCAGGGCTGGAAGGCCTTTCTGCCCTAAAATTTTGCTCAACAGATCTCAGCTTCCTGCCAAGGCCTTTCCAACCTGCCATCTGAACTTACCTCTGACTCCTGCTCGCTCATGCTCCACATTTCCCAAGACTTATCTATCCCTTCTAAATCCCTCTTCAGGCTTTTTTTGTCCCACTGACAAAGCCTTGGTCTAGGCCAGTGGTCAGCAAACTTGCTGCTCGGTAAACCACAGCTCACGAGTCACATGCGGCTCTTCGGCCCCTTGAGTGTGGCGGTATTTTGTGGAAGACCCACACTCAAGGGGCCAAAGAGCTGCATGTGGCTCGCGAACCGCGGTTTGTCGACCACGGGTCTAGGCCACCATCCTCTCTCCCCTGGACCCTGCACCAGCCTCCTCACTAGTCCCCCATCTCTCCAAGAACCATCATCCTTTATACAGCAGCCAGGATGATCTTTATGAAGTGACCCTGTCCAGAGGGGAGGGTGGTTGCGGGGCTGGGTAAAAAAAGTGAAGGGATTAAGCAAAAAAAGCCCCCAAACACCCAAATGAACAAACAAACCTAATGGACACAGACAACAGGACAGTGGTTACCAGAGGGAGAGGGGTAAGGGGAGGTAGAAGAGGGTATAGGGAGGATAAATGATGATGGGAGGAAATTTGATTGGGGTGGTGAACACATAATACAATATTCATATGATGTATTATAGAATTGTACACCTGAACCCTATATAACTCTATTAACCAATGGATTTTTATCCTTTCTGTTGTTAATGTGAATCAACTATGTTGATTCTTCAATCCATGAATACTACAATGAATTCAATTAAAAAGTAAAATAAAATGACCCTGTCACTTCTGAGGGGGTGTCCCCTCTCCTCTGTTTTCACCTGGCAAGAGCCTTTCCAGTTGTCAAAGCCCCAGATCGAATGCTGCCTCCTTTATGAAGGCTTTGCTTTCATTCAGCAAACATTTGTTGAACACCTAAAATGTGCGAGGCACTGTGCTAGGCAGCGATGATAGAGAAATGAATAAGACAAATGGAAAGGCCTTGGCAGGAAGCTGAGATCTGTTGAGCAAAATTTTAGGGCAGAAAGGCCTTCCAGCCCTGGAGAGATGGGCAATTAAGCAGTGCCAATGTGTGCACACGTCCTATGGTGGTTAACCCTCACTAGCTGTGAGCTCTTTGAAGGCAGGACTCATTTGGGGGTCATTTATTGGCCTCAGAGCCCAGTACAAGGCCAGGCAGGGAGGAGGAGGCAATAGCTATTGAATCAAGGAATGAATAAATGAATGAAAGGCCAGGCCAACCTCCTCCTTTCTCAATTGTCGTCCAAGCCTCGGATATAGCTGATAACCAGGTTCATGAAATTAAGCTGAAACTGGATGGCAAACTTGGAGCTAAAGTGAAAGAATCAGCAAAAGATTGTTATTTATAGCACAATGTTTTATAAAAACACAATACCTACCTTCCTATATCATCTCTCCATTTGACAATTACTTTTTTTAGAAAATCCACATTATTTCCTTACTAAGACTTAGATTCAGGAAATTTAACCTGTAATGGAA